AAATAGAAGCCATACATCAGTACTGGTGAGTAAAAGGCTTCCCTGGCAGAGAAGAGGCAAGACGAGGTCTTGTCTTTGCCCCAGCAGTCCTGCTGAAACAGCCCTTGCTGTGCTGGAGTGCATCTTCCCCCAAAATGCCTCCTGTTTCCCAAATCCTTCTGATACTGTTTTATCTGCTATGGTGCACTTGGGGAAAAGTTTCTGTTTGAAAAATAAACATTTTCTGGCAAGAAAAAGAAGAGAAAAGAAAAARAAAGTCAGAAGATTTTGGGCAAGTTCTAAGTGAAAGGTAACAATGCATTTATTCCCTTATGCATTGCGAAAAGTTTATTTTGCTGCTGTTATATTTAAATTAGACAGTCTGGAGGGATTGTTGAGGGAATTAATCTTTCATCTTTAGCCTACTAGTTCACGTTCAGCCCAAGTAAAAAGCCCTGGTCCCTGGGTGGTTTCCAGCTGACAGTTTTTCCTCACAAACCCGCAGTGCGAAGCGCCCGCAGTGCTGGAAGCCGTAGCAGGCGGCGTAAGCAGCGTGCGGGCCCTGAGCCTGGGGGACCCAGCGGCAATGCCCCTGCAGCACCGTCCTCAGCCTGCCCCTATATGACCCGCCAGAAGCGTGTCTGAGGGGCAGCGTGAGGGACCTGCTCCCTATCTGTGTCCTCCACAAACTTCACTCCCTAGGGCTGGCAGTGATCTCCGCAAAAAAAATAACAAAGATAAATATGAAAGCGCAGTCTCCTGTGATTTGCTGTAGGTGGTTTTAGTCGGTGTGCCTTTGGGGGAAGCTGAGCTGAGGTTTGCATCACTTTGCCAGCCTAAAGTGTTGCAAAAAAAAAAAAAAGTAAACAAGCTCTGTTCTCATAGTATAGAAATAGTCCAAGTTATACATAGCATAACTTTCTACTGACCTAGGCTGGCCCCAGGTTTAAGATGAGAGGACAAAGGCCTCTCAGCAGAATGGAGCTGGTACCAGTTGGCCTGAGCCTCTGGCTCTCACACCAAACAAAAAAATATGAAGCGAAGGATACGGGTAACCTCTCTCCAGTGCTCCTCTAATTATGGCTGCGTGGCTGGCCCAGCAGCCCTGGTGGTGCTGGTTTCTGACTCCTGTGAGGGAGAGGACAGAGTTTGTTAACAGGAGTTAATGATGTTTTCTATGCAACATTATTTTTTTTCTTGTGATTTCCTGCAGATCGTCTCTCCTGCCTTTTTTTTTTTTTCCTCTCTCTCTCTCTCTCTCTCTCTCTCTCCTCATGCAAGTCAACCTTTGTGAATAGGGATTATCTGTGCAATAGAGAAAAGTACAGTAACTTGGAAACATCAATACAGTCATCTGCATTTCTTGACTATATGTATATAAAAACATGTCTTTTTTAGTAGCTATGTTAACTGTAGACAGAAAACTAAGTTGTATCATTAAAAGCCTTTGTGTTATTTAAAATTATGTTTTTAAAGGGAATAGGATTCCAGGTGGTATTTGCACTTTTTATTTGTATGCATTGCAAAAAGTAGAAAAAAAAGAGAAATTATAGTTCCTCTCTCTTCTAGATTCACTCGATCGAAGCAGCGGAGTACAACGGTGTCTGGCCCTCAAGCTCATTCTCTCGGTCACTCAAACTGACTCAGGCGCTAACAGGACAACTGAGTAATCCCATCAAATTTGAGTATAGCAATGGCCATGTTGGAAACCTTATGGCTCCTGAGGCTGTCTCAGAGGATGGTCTCAACATCTGTAAAGGAGTTTTGAGTCTGTTTGAAATGAGTGTAAAGAAGATGCATAACACATACAGCTTTCAGGAGGTGCGTGTTTCATCTTACCCATTATGGTTACTTTGTCACTCAATAAGCCCTTTCTTCTGATTCCTTTACTGCATTTTCTGGATTTATTGTTGACATAATCTTCAGTAAAAAGGAACACTTAAGCTTAGGAGATAGTCATTATATTTATGAGGCTTCATCTGTTTGAGCTTTACGTAAACAGGACAGCAAAATAAGTATTTTTAATCTAGTTGATCAAATTATTTCAGAAAGTGCATTTGCAGCACTAGACCTTTAGAAAAATTTGTATATAATTCTAGTATAAATAAGCTCATATGAAAGCAGAAGCCTATGTAAAATTTGAATACTGTGTTAAAACAGGCTTAAATGTGCACCATAAGATTAAAGCTAAAATAACACCAATTTCACTTTTCTACCAATCAAATATACTTTAATCTCTTCTAGCTCCTATTTTAGGAGGAAAATAGTATATATGCCATGATATTATTTGTAACAGCTTTGACAGCTGCAGTTGTTCTATTGGAATTTCCCATGTTTTTTAGGTTTTTAATATCTTAGTAAGGGTAAATCATCTGGTATTACTACTCACCATAGAAATTGCAATGTATTTAGCTTTTGCAAAACTATATTTACATTGATTAGGCTGCATTTGATTCAGAGATCAGCAAAATCCTTGAAATTACTGTGCTTTCATGTTATTTTTATTGAAAATGCAGACTSGCGCAACTTAATTTTTTTTAAATATATTTTTATATGAATAGAGCCCTTTCTGAGAAAGGAACTACATGATTTAGTACTTTCATGCTGCTTGTTGCACATAAAAACCTGCATAGTGGTGTCGCATATTTGACAGAGCTATTTACTCATAATCTAGTTTTACTTCTTCATTCTTTCTAATTCAGTTAGCAATATCTCCTTCTCTTATTGCTTAGCAATATTTGTGAGTTTACCTCCTAAAATCTTTTCCAAGTTTTCTCTGCTTTTATCAGCCTATTTTATGAGCATCGCCACCCTTGCCTGACAGTCTTAAGTCACTCTATAAAGGAAGACAACCATTATTAGTCCCAAAATACAGAAGGGGAATCTGAGTGGCAGACAGGTTTAAGTGACTAACCTGGGACAGTCTGTTTCACAGCTTGCAGAGGGTAGGGTAAGATAGCTGAGTGAGCCACAGCCTAAATAGCACTTTCCAGAAGGCCAGCTATAGCAAAAGGCTACTTTATCCTGCTAAGACCTGTGGCCTGTGCATTTGCTTTTAAAGTTTAAATGTCTCTACCTGYAGTCTGCAGAGCAGTCCACATAGCTGTGTTTGCAGAGTCCAAGTCTTTTGGCATGTGATCTTACTTCTAATCCTTAGTGATGCCAGTGCCTCCAGGAGCACTGTTAAAGCAGCTATATCTTCCTTTGCAAGCTATCACATCACCATTTGACTTGACTGACATAGCCCAGAGCTCCTCTCTGGAACAGCTACGTTATCAATAACAATAAAAGAATCATGAAAATATCTGATTGCATTTTAAAAGAAAGGGTTATTTTCCTTTCCAAAATCTCCTGGCTGACTGAGTTGATTTAAGACTTTTTATGAATATATGTGCTTGAAATATTATTGGAGATCTCAGTTAAAACTGCAAACTCAAGAATACCCACAATAAGAACTCTGCTATTCTGAAATTCTTTTTAATTATTGCTTTTCATATTGTGATAGATTGCCTGATATTCCAAGACCTGTTCTATAGGCATTTATAAGCTGTCCATAAAAGCAAATTTTAGGGGCAGAATGTCATTTCCAACCTTAAAATACTTTGCTGTTGAGATTTTTATTCTGACTGATCACATTATTTTGAAATTTTTTATTAATATTCTTCAAAAAGTACTGTATAATCCACAGCTCTACCTGGAAATTACTATCCATCTTTTCTGAGGCTCCAAACCTTGTCCCAGTGAAGCTTTTGAGAATTCTAGCTCTCTCAGTGAAACTCTGATTTGGCTTACTGTACATTCACCTGAGCATGTAGGAAAGAGAAGAAAGTCATCCTGGTTGCCTTCTGGAGAGTACTTTGACTAAAAAAAAGTATGCACTTCTAACAAGAACTTTGAAGCTATAGAGTTGAAACAAGACGGTTTATATGGGGAATTCGAGGCATTCTGCTTAGGGGAAAACATTCTCTTTAGGGATAAATATTCTCTGATCTTGTCTAATTTTTGCCAGGCCAGCATTGGAGGAATTTGTAATACTACCTACACAGTTCAGGAAAACAAGAGAGCAAACGTAGTGTATGTGACCAAATCCAAGGACTTGAACAGCTGTGAAGAAAAAGTTCAAATGGTCACTGGTTCAGCATACACTCATCCTTGCCCAACCTGCCAGCAGGTAAATTAGAAGGATTATGTTTACAAATATCATCTTATTATTTATTTTTATTATTTATTTTTATTTTATTTTATTTGCAYTTATATATATAAAAGATAAATATTACATATTTTAAGTAGAGCCATGTATGTTGCATCTAGTTATCTGCAGTTTCTACGTGAAGATGATATCTGTGGAGCAGCAATGAAATGTGTATAAATTGTCACGTGCTGCAGAGATTYCTCAACTGGCTTAAACCAGCTAACTTGAAAAGCATTAATTATCATCATAACTTAATTGATCTCTTCTGTAGAGTAAAAAAGCTAGCCCTGATGTCTAGTTTCTGGTATTCAAGACAGATGTTTCTGTGTCATATTACAGTGCTTAGGCATAAACTGTGTTTACCTCAGCTTCATGTCTGTGAAATAAGAAGTTGTGTGGCTCACACAGCTGCTCAGGGAATAACCAGTGACTTCTATTTGGGGAAGGCTGGCACTTCTTAGCAGGAATAGTCTGGCCTCTCCCATGGAAGTGCACTTGCAGAATTCACATGAACTGCTAATATGAACAGTGAGCAGCCCTAAAGAATAAGCAGGTTAAAGTGGGTGATATAATAGTTTCTAGTCGTAGAATTTTAAAATTAAATGACTTCTTTTTTTTTTCTTTGACATTTTTTCATTATAAAGAGAAACAAGAATTACCAGGCAACTGCTACTTACAATTACAAAATTAAATATGCACGTAATGAAGCTGTAATTACACAAGCTGATGTTGAGGAAATCCACCAGTTTGCACCCTTCAATGAGATAGCAGGAGGAAATGCTGTCATAGAAGCAAGGTATTGTACATATGTCTTTAATTCATCATCTCAATCATCTGGTCAAACTCCATAACTGAAATAAATCCTTTATTTCCATGGCCTATTTTTTGCCAGTATTTAATTATATAAAACCCCAAACAGTTCATAAAAACAACCTTCACTGTTAGTTGTAAATCTGAAACATGCACATCACTATCCAAATTTTGTTAGCTGAACTTGGCAGGGTTTGACTGTTTTATTTCTCAAGGATATTTGATTTATGTCATAAAAGCCAAAACAAATGTAATTCCATCTGAAAAATTGTGAACTAATATATTTGCCGTAAAATACTTTGAAAGACAGTTACTCACTGAAAAAGAGTTCCCTGGAAAATAATAATGCAGTAAGAGACCCTGGAGACTAGTTCACAAGAAATCTAGATATGACTTTGGATTCCAACATGCTTCCTAAGTATTGTGGGCTGCTTGCAAATCTTCCATCAAAACTATTCCATGAWAGGAAATTGGGTTTTATTGCAAAAAGATTGGGCACAGGACATGTAAAATGCATTTGCTTTCCCACAGAAAGAAAAAAATGCATATTCCTTAAAGAAGTTTTAGGCAAAACAAGAACACAATTGCCCCAAAAGTGAATCTCCTGCTGTCAATAAATCTTTATTTATCTCAATTAGTATGATAAGCAAAAAATGGTGAAASAACTTTACCATTTCATGTAGTCAAGGTGAATTTAGATACAACTGTAGTACTTTTATTAAATTATAGGTTGCTGCAAGAGAGCATTGCTCTAGAATCAATGAAACTTTGTTGATTTAAACTTTCTTCCTGCAACCCTGAATGGACTTCTTCCTTAGGAATTCTCTCAGGAATTTACCTCCACAGAAAGGGTAGTGCCTTCATTCTTCCTTATTTTCTCTGGATCTCTTGCACTGCCCAGCAGAAATGGCMAAGTATATGGTAGTTGGGAAGATATGGATATGTCACCCAACTCTTCTGAAGTTGTTTTTCTAATACACTTTTGTTGAAAAATGAAAATCTTACGTCAAGGACATTTGGAGCTGAATTTTCAGTCCTGTTCAGCATAAGCCTCTATCTGCACCTTGTGAAGCCAGGAGATGTTTTGCTATTGTTTCACCATATTAATGTTATCTTAATATTGATTTGCTCTTCTGCATGGAATGTAACATTTTTCCATATATTCTAGGCCAGTATATCTCTTCTCAAAACACAAGAGATGAAGACATAATAGATTCATGTTGCTTTGTAAAGGGGAATTAAATCTGTTTAAATGCACCTAGCATTAGATATTCTGACCCAAATGCCCTTCCGATAATACTGTATAAAATTTGAAGAGGGAAAAAAATCTTGCTTGATTCTGTGGTGATTTCTATTCAAATTCCAGTGGCTTCTCTGCAAAGCAGTGCTATGATATTTTCTGCAAGATTTCTATGAAATCCATGTAGGAGGAGTGGATAGAAATGATATAAAAGATAATMATAGAGATTCCAAAATAAACATGCCAATTTTTTATAGAGATTCTGAGATACTGTACTGTACAATGATACTGCTTTGGGAATATTTTCAGATGTTCGATTAAAAATGCCTGACTTTATAGTGTCCTAAATGACCAATTTTAAACATAATTGGCAGGATAGGRTGTATCTTTAAATGAAAACGTAGCACACATAGGAAATGTTTATAAAGACAGTTTACAAAGAGAGAAAGTTTGATACTCTTCAGTTTCCAAAAACTTGAGTGCTTTTCCAAAGTCTAATCTTGAATTTATCTGGCCCTCTTTGTTTGAGAAGTCCGATTTAAGGCTTCGTGAGAACCTTTTACCTTCAGTAGTCCCCAGGACATTCAGCTTCCCAGGCGAAAGGGGGAGGGAACTCCTTAAGTTCAAGTAAGAAAACTGTAATTGTCCTTCTGGTATGTAACAACTTGCAATTTCTTTTGAAGCTTCCAAAAAGCATAGACATTCAAGGACTTTTATGTACTTTTTAAAAGGTTGAAATTAAGTGTTAATTTCTGAAAAAGTTTCCCATCGGCTATTTTTCTCTAATCCTTAATTTACTCCTTAAAATACAATGCATAGCTTCTGAGATCTTATTTAACCATAGCTTCTCACCTCCCACCTCTTCCTGAAACTCTCAAACCCTTGTAATCCCAAAAGAAGGCAATGGCTAACTCTGATTTTGAGCACTGTGCACATCTTCCTGTAGTACAGCTCTGAGCACGGTGTCCTAGTATATTTATTTGTAAATAAYTTTTCCCCCTTTTGAAACAACTGCACTTACATTGCAAGCAGGAGAGACAGAAATACTATTCTTTTCTCTCTGTTTTCTTGCCCTGCGTCTTGTGATGTTAATCCCTCGGTTCCTACATTCCAGGCAGAAGCTCATATTGACTGATGTACAAAAGCAGATGCCTGAGATCCCACCAAAGGAATTTTGGAAACGTGGGTCGCTGCAGTACCAGTTTGGCAGTGAATTGCTTCAGCTTCCTGTCCACTTATTCAAAATTAAGAATGTGGAAAGCCAGGTAAGCTTTAGCCACTGGACAGATTCTTTATTGAAAACCAGAATCAGTATACATGAAGGGGGAAAACAAGCACATGTGAACATTGTGTATTTTGATCTTCCTACAGATAGCAGAAAGCCTGCAAGACCTAATAGAGAGCACACATGAACAGGTTTCCAGTGATGCACCTGCAAAAGCCCTCAAGCTTTTACAGCTTCTCCGTGCAGCAAGCGAGGAGAATTACGAGTCAATATGGAAGCAGTACTCAAATCGGCCTGCATACAGGTAGCAAAAAACTGTGATGATTCTTCCTTTGAAAAAAAAAAAACTGTTGGAGATGATCTGACGTTACTGTATTCCAATACAGATCCATAAAATGACCACTGCCTTTCCCATTCCAGGCGCTACCTCTTGGATATAATCCCTTCAGTTGCCACGCATCATGCACTCAGGTTCTTAAGGCACAGAATGGAAAGGCAAGAAGTCACTAACTGGGAAGCAGCTCAGACGGTCCTTGTCGGTCTGCACTCGAGCGTGCCAACTCAGGAAGTGATGGAGGAAGCCACAGTAGGATTCTTTAAACACTATCTAATTGCTATTTATTAATTTTGGAATGTCATATTTATTCCTTTGACAAGATGGCAAAGGCTTTGAAAATACAAAGGTTTTATATCCTTTAGTGAGGTTAAAAGGAGTTTATTTCCTGGCTGTCTTACGTGGGGCAATGCAAGCCAAAGGGGTATAAATGAGTCTAGCATAAAACAGAAAAGAATGAGTAAAATACCCCTCAGTGTTGGAGGTTATTGCCACAAAAGTGATTTCTAGCTTTTCATTGTCCAAATGTACTTTGTAGTTGCATCAGATCTTTAACTGAGAATCTCTGCAAAGACTAGGGAGTAAGAAATACATGTTTGTTATATTGGTTTTGGTTGACCTAGAAGAGTGGGAATAAATCTGAGCAGATCTAATGAAATCAAGGGAATTATGCCAATGTGAAGTCCATGTGGGAGAAATTGTAAACAGTCATTATAGTTTTACGGCTCTTCTACAGGTTCAAATTCTACCCTCTGAAACAGGAATCTTCTTTGCCCCCTGTGTGTTTTCCATGCCCTCTGTGAAAGCTGTCCCAGCTCAGTTGTTACTGTGCTGGGATGCTGTGCTTCCCACTTGAGCAAGTGGTGGGTTGCTRCCTCCCATCAGCTCTCACTCTCCTGTCTACCCATGCTGAAGTCCACTCAGAATGCATCACAGCTTTTTTTATGCCTATAGCTCAGGCAAACAAGTGCTTTTGCACTTTTCCATTCCGTAACTGGGTGATTATAGCCTATACAAAATGAAAATCTAAAAGATTGTTAAAGCTACAGATCTGTCTTCCAGATGCTCCTTAGAATTGCATTATGATTACACTGTCAAATACAGTAATACCAACCAATTAACTATAAATCCATCAATGTAAACATATTGAAAGATGGCTATTGCCTTGCATTTGGCAGAAAGGTATTTTTTAAATTGTTTCTTCTTCATTAGTTGTGCTAATAAACAACTACTTTCTCCCTAGCTCATCGTGAGAAAACATTGCCCACGCTCAAGTACCGTACTTGGAAAAGTTTGCCATCTTAGCTATGCATCATTGTGCCATAAACAGTGTTCCTCATCGGATTCCTGCTCTGAATGTCTCCAGGTAACCTGATTTTTATTTATCTTTTAAAAGATAAGCCTAGAGTTCTGTCTTCACTATTCAGAGATCTGCATTTCACTTCCCCTTTGGGAAAAAGAACCCCAATTGGTTAAATGCAGCATTTTTATCTTTAGATTAACGCAGAAAAGAGAATGAAAAGAAGAAGCATGTAATTCATAGCACTTTCTGAGTATTTCTGTGGGCTTTATGGCCAATTATTGATGAAGTCGCACAGAACTGCTCTAAAACACTCCTTAATACAGGCACTTAACAGATATGCAACCTAAGTGACACAAAAGCACTTTTTTGCCTCAGATTGTATAGCCCATCACTTTCTCATCTAGAGATGAGCTGGGAGCCSATCATCTATGTCCAGTACAAGTTTTAAATAATAATAATACACACATGTTCTGCATAGTTATTAAATCAGTGCACCTCAAAATAGTTTTAGTAGTAGTGTTTCTCCATTCCTGATATGCATGCAGTGGTTTATGGAGATCATCCACTTGGCCAGCAGTAGAGACTTTTTTTTTCTGATGTATCTTCCTGCAGTTGCTGTGTGTGTCTCGTGCATTACGGTTGCCACCCACAATCTTGAGCTAAGTAAATATAGGAAACCCAATGTCAGGGAATAGAAAAAAGTCTTTGACCAAAGCAAATGATTGTACAGGTTATTCAATGGGTTTCAAATTTCCAATTTGATTAGTAATACTAAATTTCTGTTTCTGCAGCATCACTGGATCTCAAATATGATATTATAAAACAGTATTGAAACTCTTCTGTGACATTTCAGAGTTCCCTCTTTAGATCCATTGTTTAGCATCCAAAGCAGCTTTCTACTAGGATTTAGTTCTTATATTCACAATCTTCAGACATCTTTTCTAATCTTACCAAATACATAATATGTGATCCACTTGCTTACAAGGGAGACTATTGAATGACCTGGTGATCTCATTCCCAGTTATTAATCAATACTAAAAAGCKGTTGTCACAGCTGGAGGCAAAGGGCAATACCACTGTCTTGAGGAATGTAATCTAATTTGAGATTATGAAGAACTAAACTGTGCCTGCATTTTTGCACTTGTCTTTAAAACAGCATGGAGAGATATCCAAAAGGCATTAATTCTTGCCAGGTGCCTAACCTACACTGAAAGGCAGTAGGACTAGACCCTCCTCATTATTTTTGTTTTTAAAAATTTTAGCCAGTAGCTTTAAGGCACAGGGATGAAGAAGATGTTCATTGCTGYTTTCTTGGCTATACTTAGTTTTTGAATAAAATGTCCTATTCATAAGAACAAAAAGAATTTCAAAATATTTAAAATAAGTGAATTGAACACTGAAGCTATCAAAGAAAAATTAAACCTCAAGCACAAGTGAGGGGACAGAATATAAATAAGAGCTGTAACTGAACAGAAAATTTGTTTTGTCTTGTTTTTAGCTGCTTCATGGCTTTGCAGGAGAGGCATTGAGCAAGTCTAACACGGAGGAGATCTCCCTGGCCTTGAAAGCTCTTGGAAATGTGGGACATCCAACCAGCATCAAGCACATAAAAAAATTTTTGCCAGGATATGCATCTGGTGCCTCAGATCTGCCCCTTAGAGTTCATGCAACTGCTGTGATGGCACTGAAAAACATAGGCTTGAAAGACCCGAAAATGGTAAGGAAGTAAAGCTCTCTGACTTGCACTTAAGATAACTGTACATATTGCTCATAACTGATGATGGAGGCATGGACCAGGAACAYCATTTTTTCAAATACAGCTGTAATATGTAAAATAATTACCCAATCTTAAGTGGTCACATCTTATACTTTTTGACATTAACCTCTAGTATATCAAAATGCAGCAAAAATGCCGCTAAAAGGGTACATTCATTCATTACCCTGTTGTTGAAAAAGAAGCAGCATTGCTATTGCAAATGTTTATTTTCCAAGGATATTAGACCAAAAGCTAAATTATTGACCGAAACATGTTTAATGCTACTTCTATTTTGATATGAGAGAACCACAAAACAAGATTTTCAGAGAAATAATWCTGAGTGTCTATCTAATTGTAATTCAAGACCAGATCTTATTGTAAATAGATACTAGAGGTTTGCATCCTAATTACAAATTTACAGACATTGTGAGTTTAAGTCATAAACAGAGCATTTACTAAATGTGACTTTTGTCCCTGAACAAGATAATGATTAGATATCACATACAATGGTTACACAGGCATAATCTCATCCACCACAGACATCACTCTGCTATCATTTTCACCTGAAAACAATCTGCATCTAATAGGAAGCCTTGCATTTCAAGATTTCTTTCCCTGGTATTGAATTTTTTTTATTTTATGTAAGACTATTCTCAACATAAAAAGGAAAATAAAAAGCTTTATTTAGCCGATCTTCTATTAATCTGTATCAGCTTTCCATTATACTCTTTTTTTTTTTTTTTTTTTTTTTTTTTTTTTTTAATATATAACTCCTGGTTTGAGTGTGTGTATTGATCCACAGACAATAGTGTGACTGAGATTTCTTTTAAGCAAAGGAATAAAGAAGCAGTATGCTAAAGTGTAGAAGCTAAGTGTAGAAATAGCAAGGTGGAGAGACTAATGAGGGTAGGAATTGGGCTATTTTCTGGGAAGGAAAGAAGTCGATTTGGTGTTTAAAAAAAAAAAAAAAAACTGTGTCTGTGAGTACTCTTTGGCTTGATTTTCCACATATGACCCAGACCACTGTTTAACATCCTTTTTCTGTGCATTTGCTCTGGAGATAATTGATCTGGAGCTTGTTAAGGAAGGTGGCTCTATCTTTCATTGTCCCCAGCTCAGTTTAATCCCTGGTTTGTGGCTAGCCACATACCCACGTTGCATTAAACAGTTTTACCATATGGTCTGTCACTTTTATTGCCTTATGACAAGGTAGTTGTATTAGAATGAGGCTGCTGCATCCTTGTCATTGCTGTTTCCAAAGTATATTGAAACCTTTCCTCAGAGAGCATGGACATGCACTGTRCAGATGGGGGCCAGAAGGTACCAGACAGTCCAAGACTGGCCTGAGGTTGGGGTCAAAGCATGAGTGAAGCTCATGGAAACTGGAGATATTCCRGTATGGAAGTAGTCTGATCTGATGGTAAATATTGCAGAGATCAAACTCATGGGTCACAACTAGTAATGTGGACTCATATTTGTTGCATTAATTCACAATTTTCAATTGCCTACAGGGCATAGAAACTTCTGGTAGTAARCTTGACTTTTAACCTAGCATTAAAAGCTTCAAGAAATCAAATGATTAGAAACAGGGCATGGTAGCATTATGGGTAGGGGCGAGTGGTGAAACCTCTCTCAGGTGGTGAGGTGTGGTGAGTTCTTGAAGTCTGTGTTCCTAGAGTGATTATGCTGCAGATATATTTTTCTCTAGCACAGAAAGGTGTAGTAAGTTTGCTCTAGAAGTTGCTCAAAGTTCATTAGCTTCAGTTGTATAGGAAGTCAAACTACATTACCCTAATGCCCCTTCCAGCCTTCAGACTATGAAACCAGAAACTTTGTTACTCTAAAAATTAAATTAATACAGATTCATATTCTACCAATGATGAGGAGTTCGTCAACRGTAATGAAGAGCTATTGGTAAACTGTTCAAACATATGGTAAATTTAAATGTGTCTTTTATTTTCAGGTACAGGTTATTACTCTTGAAATTTTCCTCAATCACAAAATGCATCCTCGGCTCCGCATGTTAGCTGCCTTAGTTTTGCTGGAAACCAAACCAGGTCTTCCTATATTGATGACGGTAGCTGATGCTGTGCTRAAGGAACCTAGCATGCAAGTGGCCAGTTTCATCTACTCTTACCTGAGGGCTCTTGGGAGAAGCATGGCTCCAGATGTCCAAGAAATGTAAGGAAAATCTGCATCTCATCTCTAAACAAGCTTGTTATAAATTTACTGGGGTGTTAATGTACTTGCTGAATGTTTTCAGGGCTTCTGCCTGCAGGATGGCTATTAGAATATTAAGCCCCAAATTTGACAGATCTGGATACCAGTTCAGCAAGGTTTTCCGCTTCAGTATGTTCAAAGGTAAGGTTCAGGCTCCTCTCTCTAATGCTCAGAAGATTTTGGAGAGAAATAAATACATGTTAGTATGTGGGGAGGGGGGAAAAAAAAGCATATAGTATATGATCCCAGTTCTACTCTATAGCTGCGTATTATTCCTCCATGTTCTCCTGTGTTCAGAGAAACAGAATCTCAGGCTCTCCTTTTTGAGCATGTCCCTGTATTCTGTATTGTACACTGCCAGCATGAAATTACCAGAGGGCTTGTGGGGCTCTAATCCTCCACTTTCATTAGCCAGTGAGGCACATACTCTTGTATCAAAGGCCATAGTCTCAGCGGTACTTAACAAATTTCATACCATTGTTCAGCACCAAACAAACAGAAGGGACCTAAATTACTGCTCAAGTGGATTAATTTCTACCGGTGTGAACATCTACAACTCTTGCTGAATTCAAATGTGGTGCTAAATGCTCTTCACCCTCAAGAGTGCCCAGTGACACAGCAAACACTGAATATGTTGAGATTTGACAATTCATTGCAGCCCTGAGAATCCATCTCTTACGGCTGCAGATTTTCCTTGCTGTTTCCTACCAGAATTCTTTATTAGACTGAGCAGATCCATATGTGGGATCTGGAAGCAGACCAGTGATATCAATAGAAGCAAATAAAAAAAATCAAGAACATTAGAAGAGAGAGGATGAGCTTGGGAAATTGGCTTTTGCTGGGCCAAACTGTAGCTATTTGCATTTTCCGTTACATTATTTTGCTCAGCAGAGATTTTTTTTTTTTTTAAACAACTTCCCTATGTAAATGACCATAGCAGTCTCAGTGATTTGGCATATGTAGCTGGCAGAGTAGGGACAATATATCTATAAACACAGTCTCCTTACAYATGATGTTTTTCTAAAAGCACTCTTGAAAGTTTTTAGCACTTTTGTTATTTATCAGTTCACCTAAATATTCTTTTCAAAGTAGACAATAGAAAAAGAGACTCTGAAACCCACAGTGCTAAATGTACAAGTATTTCTGCCTTTTTTTTTTTTTTTTTTTTTTTTTTTTTTTTTTTAAGAGGGAGGTGGTTTGGAGTGGTTTTGTAGATGTTATGTTCCTCTCTTTCATAGATCTTACATGACCACATAATCTGCTGTTTAATAAAAATAAATATAATATATACCACTTAGTGACCACAGCTAAATGTATTACACATACTTGCTACCTCAGAGATGGAGACAGAGTGCCTGAGGAAATACAGTCACTAATACCTGCTCTGTGAACTTTTGTACCATTTAAAATGCATTCAGGGAGAGTTAAATTTTCCAGTAATAAGCAGATACATGTTTCTAGTTTTAGGTACTCATTTTCTCTTCTTACTCTTGCCTTTTCAATGAAGCTGTCTTAGTGCTCACACAGTGAGAAGGAAGAGTTCTGTACGCATCACGGTAGCTGGCAAAGGGCTACGTGGAATGAATTATTTTATTCTCACTGTAGCCTGGGAATGTAGCATATCAGTGAATTGTGACTACTTTCTTGGTTGAGATAAGGGTCAGGAATTTGGTTAGTATGCAGATGTGTTGTTTAGATCTCTTGTTCCTGAAGACTAAGGAAGAACAGTCTTTCCTCAGACATGGTGATTTTATATTTAGATAATTAAGCGGGCTAAATAAAGTCAATCCTTTATTACACAAGTCTGGAGGAGGATCCATCCACCGCCTTTCTGATTTGATTTGTCACCACTAGTCACAGGTGAAATGTATTTCCATGAGCCTGTGCTATAGGAGTTACCATAGTTACTGCAGTAATGTGATACTTATTCCCATTGAACAAACAAAAACGTGCCCTCAGCATTAGATCTTTGTGGTGCTAGATACTGACTTTTTAATGGTAACCACTAATACCAGCTGAAAGTATCTCTAATCTGGAAACTGTCACACTTGGCCACCATGAATAGTGTTTTATGCTCTACACACTGTAACTGAAAGTATGTAGAACTGTCCAACATGAGGATAGCAGATAATTAACACAGGGACACCCAAAACACTTTACTGTCTTCCAGCTAGTGTTGGAAGAGGGAGGAGACTTGGAAGATCSCTTGGAAGGGATGCCTACATATTCTGTGGGTTTTGAAATCTAAGAAAATTTAGGGAAGCCTGGGRATTACTTTAACTCAGAAAGCTGTGCTGTATTGAACTGCACCAAGATCAGGGAGAATATATGACCATGCTTTACAATGACTGTCTTTATTTAAGAGCATTGTAGATGATAAATCTAAAGTAGAGAAAATGCACACCAATTACATTTGTTCAGAGTTTACATGATAGTTAACTTTTACCTAGCAATTGGAACATTTCATGTGAAGAAAGTTAAGTAGATACATTGCGACATTGGTAACTAGATATATTATTTTGCCCTTTAGTCATTTGGGAGACAAATCTACACCTCACCATCTGTCCTTATCGAACATCTATATCGCTTTCCCTAAACGTTAGCAAAGGATGGCAAATCTATTTTCATTTCTGATCCCCTTTGTCAAGTTACCTTGAATGGTATCTCATAAAAACATTTCATAAAATGGTTTTACAAAATCTGACTGAATGTAAATGATGTACCAGATGCAATTGGAAAAATAGCATAACGACTATGCAATKAGCAAGAGACTTGTAATTTTGTCCATTAATAGTTGAAATATACAGAATCTTCTGTTTGTGACTGTTTCATAACATCAACTTTTTAGATGGATTTTCTGGCCTGTCTGATATCATGCTGTATCTGTTGTCTAATGTAATTAGCAAATTGCTACAATTTGCAAACTGTGGCTATAATAACTGTGCTGTGTTTTACTGCCTGTTTTTCTGTAGATTTTCTTATGACTGGACTGGCAGCTAAATATTTGGTATTGAATAACGCAGGCAGCACAATTCCAGCAATGGCAGTGTCCCAGCTGCGGACACATTTCTTTGGAAGAGTTACTGATCCCTTGGAGGTAATTGAGTCTTCCTGCAGGTTGCCACCTAACCTCTTGCTTTTGAACATCACCCAGTTGGTATTTACCCTTTTTTTTTCTCTCCCCGCTCCCCCCACCCCTCTCTTCTCACAGGTGGGGATAAGAGCTGAAGGGCTGCAGGAGATGTTTGCTAAAGGTTACTCCCCTGACCAGGACTGGGAGACCAGCTATGATTTCAAGGAAATCCTGAAAACGGTAAATTCACAAGAAAAAAAAAATCTCTAAGGCATTACTATATCCCCAGTTTTATGAAGAATCAGACTTTCTCCTTCTCATGCAGCTTTCAGACTGGAAGGCCTTCTCTAGTGACAAACCTTTTGTATCAGGCTACCTGAAGATGTTTGGCCAAGAGTTATTCTTCGGCGGACTTGAYAAAAACACCATCCAAAATGCACTGCAGGTATTACTTTGATAACATCACTGGATAAGCATCAAAAGCTTTAAATGCTGCCACACACATTCCCTTGCCTTTTAACTTTTTAATTCAATTTTTTGTCCTTAGTATTAATCAAGGCAAATAAGTTCAAACTTTGATCAGGATTAGCTATAATCATTGCTAGCAGAAATTCTCCTGTGGAACAGTTAATGATACAGGTTGTGATATTCAAGTTCTGCTTATTTAGACAAGTTGAACTCTGCAATTTCAGGCATGGTATGGACCTGATGAAAAGAYCCCTTCAGTAAGGAGATTACTCAGTAGCCTTCAAAGTGGTGTAGGGAGGCAGTGGACCAAGGCTTTACTGTCCTCTGAGATCCGCCATATTGTGCCTACCTGTACTGGATTGCCAATGGAGACAAGCTTCTATCATACATCCGTTGCAAAAGCGGCAGGAAATGGTAATGTATTTCAAGAATTTAGCAATACAAATGTGGGTTTTATTTATATAGAAATATATATATAAAAAATTCTTATATTTTCATGCTATATATATTTCATATTACTTTTGTATATACATATAACTTATGTATGAACGCTTTGCTTTCTTTGTAATAGTTCAAGCGCAGATTACACCTTCTCCAAGGTCTGATTTCAGACTGACTGACTTACTAAATGCCAACRTTAGGCTGCGATCCAAAGCGAGTCTAAGGTAAATATTTAGTCTAGAATAAGAGAAGCCATATTTCCAAGTGACAGAGGCCTGTCATAAAAATTCAACATCTGTTTACTATATGTACATAATTTTACCATCTCATTCTAACTTTTCAGCATGGCTAAGGACATGATCTTTGTAATGGGGATCAATACACAGATGATCCAGGCAGGACTGGAAACGCATGCAAAAATGAATGTTCATGTCCCTGTGAATGTTGTTGCCACCATCCATATGAAGGAAAAAAGCATCAAAGTTGAAATTCCAGCATGTAAAGAAGAAACTAACGTTATTACTTTAAGGTAGGCTACAACATTTATTATCTTTCTATATAGCAGTACTGAATTTTTCCAAATAAGATGAATCTGTGTAGGGATCATACCTTCAACTGACAGTTTGGGTAATTGACAGTATAGTTGATCTAATTTAAGCAGAATGATATGAACCTTTGCTTGTAAATACGCTGTTTCCTGTGGCCTTCACTTGAAACTTGAAGTCCTTGAGAGTCCCGAGCTAACATGTGGCATTTAAAACACATGTGGCATAAAACTTTTATCCCAATGCATGTATTTGTACTGAATTTGTACTGAAGACTCTAGGTAAGATATGTCACGTGAATCGTACTAGTTATAAAAGACGAGCCAGATATATATATTTGTGCTTGATTCCTTAAAGTGTAGAGGACTTGGTGTTTCTTGCGTTTTTATCTGGTTTCCCTGTGGCTGGCATCTGGTTTTCTTGCCTCTTAGGTCTACTTGATTTAYTATCAGTGTATGCAGTTAATGGAAGACTATTGTAGCCAGGTGCCAAACAAATGAAAACAGATGGAAATACAAGCACAAAAAGAAGGAAAAAAAACAGAAAGAGTATGTCCTAGGAATCAAAGCAGTAGACCAAAGCTTAGAAAACCTTTACACACATACACAAAAAAAAGACACTGAGAAAGACAAGCTGAAAATTCATTACATGGGACAAAACTGATAAAAGAAATCAGCTGTTACACAGTCCCCAGAAGTGTTAACAAGATTCCACTCTAGAAATATGGCTGTAACAAAAGAGCTCAGCTGGTTGATCCAGCTGCAATTAGCAGTCATGGCTGCTGGCCCAGGGGAACTCTGATGGCCCAGGGGAACTCTGCAGGCCCCTTCAGTTTAGCCATCATAGAGGCTAATTCTCCCTTGCTTTTTGATGGTCACAGACCATCTTATTAGGCATTTGACACCACAACCTCCTTCTAGAGATGATTCCTCCACTCTCTCAAACATGGCTGTAATTAAGTTCTCCGGCTTCCTTGAGTGTAACGAGCACATCCACAGAGCAATGGTTAGGCATGGGTGAGCTTCTTAGGCACCACAACCCTGAAGTTGTTTGTTGGGTCTCTTGTGAAAACCATGAGAGCACCTTCCCAAGTCATCTGGGATAGCAATTGGCTGCTCTCACTAGCTCTTGTTGGAGAGGGCAAGACAGACATCAGAACTCAGAAAGGATACTGAACTGAAATAAGAATATTGGGCCTTTATATGGAATTTAGAGACTCTAGGTGAACTTTAATGTTAGCAGAATGATCCTCCCCGCAAAGCAAAATAAAAAATATTTTCCTCAGTTGACTTTGGGGGGAGGAATCAAATCAGAGAGAAAAGGGTTAAAAGACGGGCCAAAAAGCATGGATCAAATTAGTATTGAAAGTAGGACATTACAGCAGAGAAGCGTATATGTTCCAGCTCAAGCCCTGCTCTAGACCCTGCAGCATTATCTTTTATGAAGTGTTCAGCTGGAAATAGTTCTATAATGCCAAGCGTATAACAAAGCTAATACTCAAAAGTTAAGTTTTAGCATCACCATTTTTTTTTTCCTAAAAAACATTCCAGTTCACTGTTACAAAACAAATGACCAGTGGAAATCACACAGAACAATGAAACAGCGTTGAGTACAATGAAAGTAAATCAGTAATTGGAGAATGTAACATCGAACCATACCTCTGAGGAGGTCAAAGAACAAGCAAAGTAAAATATGAATAGTATGAGGAGAAACAAATAGGCATGATATATAGAGAGAAAGAATGTGTGTATATTCTGTGTAAAAATAATTCCAAAAGCTTAGTCTGAAAGAGCCTTTCTCTTCCTTTTGCATAACTCCTCCCCCCCAAAAAATAAATAAAGGCAACCTAATTTTTTTTAGATATTTTTAGAGATATTCTGACACTATCCCTTGTGAGCTTTAAATTCTCCATTAAGGGAAATGGTTCTAGAAAGTTATCGCTCTTTCATTTGTTCATGAGCAACGTGTGAAATATTTTGATATAGGCACTTTTACTTGATGGTCAGTAACTTGTCTGCTATTGTATTGAGATATTAAGGCCTGTTAAGATGTATTATTACTTCCCCCATSGTCTCTTATGCCTAGATCCGGGGAAGTAAATAGTTTTCAATAGCATTTAGCTCAATTATATCATATATGCCACACAGGTTATAACCTGTCACAGCTRTGGGATTTATATGAATTTCCAAGAGCCATATTTCCAGGAGACAAAGCACAATATTAAAGACTTAACTCTCATTAGAGAAAAATCAGAGCAAAATAATTAATCATGCTATGTAGAGAATATATGTGTTTCATTTCAATCTTCTCAAAGTTAAATTTAATTAAAAATAATGGTTATTTTTAAAGTGCTTTTAACATAATTATTTGGTATACTACAGATGGCTACTTAACTATATATTTTAACAAAATTTACAGGAAGAAGTAAAAATCAAATAAATTTCAGGGAAAATTAGAGTCTGTGTAAAGTACAAATATGGAGAGTTGCCAGAGAATGCACTTTGCCAATGTATCTCATATTCATAATGACAGACTACTGAAGTGGATGCATAATCTTGAATAGAACTTGTAAAAACCTGGGCTCTTTTTTGCTTGCTTTAACTGCAGGAAAAAYAGAAATTGCTTCCTATGGCATCTTATAATATGAATTACAAAATTACAGCACTGTATACAACATGTATACAACATACATAAAGGAAAATGCAAAAGAGTTGGCTCACGAGTTCACATGAGCGCTGAGTTTGGGGACAGAGGAGGGAAGTGACATTGCCCTCCATATCTTCGTTTTTATAATACCTTTATAATACCAAGGTCAGGATGACACTAGGTAGGAAGGACAGGAATCTTSATTTCACAGCTTGGAACAAGAGTTTAGGATCTGGTGCTAGGATTGTCACTTCTCATTTGTTTAGGTATGTTGCCATGCCATGCTTTAAAACCTCGTAAAAATAGTCTGGGGCTGATTTTTCTTGTTTTAAACAGACATTGAGCTCTTGTGTCTCTGAGTCAGAGATGTATATAAGGCCACACTCACTGAAACATTAATGGACCCAACGGAGTTGAATTGCTTGCCCGTTTCCCATGCAGTGAATTTGGCTTGTACTATAGCACAGCTTCTTCTCTCATCCAAAAAATACACTAATACATATTGGAAAATCTCCCTTTTATTTTTTCTCCCTTGTGTGGGATCAGAGAGAACAGATTCTTTCATACCATAGCTTTAGGCCTTCTTTGTGACTGTTTTTCTTGTTAAAGCACCRGAGCTGGCTCTTGTAGCCTATTTTTACTGTGTCGTGTGATTCTGCAGACATTGACATGTGTCACCTGTGATGCAGCTACATTTGTCAACTCTCTGTGCTCAACAGGGAGGAATCGATCCTCTACTTTCATTAGGTTGCAGAAGTAGACTATTGGCATAAAAAATACAAAAAAAAAAAAAAAAAAAAAACACCCCACAACAAAAAAAGAAACCCCAGAGCTTTCTCCTTGGAGACCCAGCCTGCAGTTCAGCGGTCATTTGAATTATTGAATGGGATTAAAATAAAAGCCACTTCCTTTCTTTGTCCCTTTACCTAGATGAGCCATCTGAAATGCAAGTTGATTTGTATTTTCTTTTATCCACTCAGCTTGTTAGGAAGAATATTTTATTTCAGATTCCATTCTTCAAGGTTCTACTCTCACCCAGCATGGAGCATTGCTGTCATGTCCTTATCTAAAAAAAGAAAGAGATGGAAAAGAAAACAAAGCCCACAGGTGACACACGTTTTTTGAGGTGTTCCACATGAAGTGCAATTGTGCGCTTTRCAGTGCGCACAGCACGGCAGGAGCCTTCAGGAGGAAGAGAGCACTATCAAATGAATACAAAATCATCTTTCAAATAGGTTAGATTGGAAATTCTCAGACTGGTAGTGTGGACCATACTAAAATAGAGACCATTTTGAAGGCCACCTTTCCATTCACTGTCACAAAGGCCATCTCCATTGGCATGCCACAGTGACCCCATGGCACTTTATACATGAGTAACAATACATGGGGAATTTTGAGCTCCATGGTACTGATGATAAATGGCTAATAATGTAGAGTTAGAAAATGCTATTAGCTGAGGCAAAGAGGTTTCTTCTCTCAAAAGTGTTCAGTGTACCAGATGTTTCCCTGAGCCAAGACAAAATGTATAGTTGTCGTAGCACTGCAACAACTTTATAAAGAACCTAAAGTAGTCRGGACTGAAGGATGTTGAGCTGTAACAGCTTCAGCTTCACGTTATATCTTATGCCACTAGAGCTGGATCCTAACAGTCTTTAGCAACATAGGAATCTCGGTGTTGAAGGTTTAATGTAAATAGGCTCTGAACCTTCTGATATGTCTCTGATATCTTGCCATGTCATGAGTTGGTACTAGTACAATTAGATTGAGCTTCAGACACTGACTTTGATGAGTCTAGGCTTCTTTCTTAACTATAATTTAACAAGAGTTGCAAAGGAAACGCCATTTAGTAACCACCACTCCCTAGTGCTCTTTTTTGAAATTATACCAGTATTATTTAATTGTAACATTTTTGGAAATAAATTTAGCAGCAAATACACAGATCTGGCTTCAAAAATTTTAAAGAACAAAATACACAAACAGGAGGACCAAGATTTTAGTATCTTAATGCACAGACAGATTTCTAAGTGGCCTATTCTTAAATGCATTAGGCATATAAAGATTCCATCAGCTACAACATTATTAACCTGTACGTGATAGTCCAAAAGTGCATCTGTGAGCTATGCGCCCCTGAGATGGGTCCGATTTTGTATTCATTATTGGCATGAAAATATCAACAGCAGGAAAGATGCTGTGAATATCTGTAAAGCATTTTGTGAGGTRTGATACTGTTGCTGAGTACATGCTACAAGATGTTATTCAGATCTTTTCCTTAGCAGATTCCCTCTAACATTTATTTTACAGGTCTAAGACKTTTGCTGTCACTCGAAACATTGAAGATTTGGCTGCTAGTAAGATGATTCCAGTTCTTCTACCTGAAGCAGTGCCTGACATAATGAAGATGTCCTTCGATTCAGATTCTGCATCGGGCGAGACTGATAACRTCAGGGTAACTGATGTAGCATCTGACTAGTTCTTTTTTGACTTGTAATCAACGGGAGACCATTTCTTTCTATGCGTTGGAGAAATGTATGGTCTAACTCTGACCAGTGCTGTGACTCTTAAAGTAGGCCAGGTTCAATYTAACTACACAACTAGCACTGTAGTAACATTATCTTAAAATCTGGAGTGTAATCACATCCGACGTGCATCGCTGTTTTCAGAAGCAAGAGCATTTCTTTGGTAATTAATTTTACACTGCCATCTACAGGATAGGYTCACAATCTTTAAAGTCTATTGTAACCACTGAGCCATCATTGCATCCCTAGAACAGGCATAACAATTTCCCCCAATGCTTCAGCACCTGACTGGTGGAACAAAGTYTGTAGGCCTGTAATGTTTGTAGGCCTGGCCTCTCCTAATTCAAGGATGGATATCAATTTGTGTGTCAAGTCAAATGACTTTATAAGCTGCAGTTTTCAGTAAAAGCMAGCACCAACTTTCTGCTAAGGATCATCATGAAGACATCACCATGACAATTAATTCAGTGCAAGATTGACAAGGGCRAAGAATACACTGCCCTGTTTCAGTTTCATTGTAGTCCCTCAATTTTAAATGGTTTTCAGCTAAAATAAGGGACAACTGAAGGATGAGTAGAGCACTTTCCTACARAGAAGGTCCATATGCAAACATTCAATCAAATACAGAAATTTCCAATGTACTGGAACAAGACAAGTTCTTCCACCTTGTGCCTCTATGTTAMGTTCTGAAAATATAGCAGTTTATCTTAAATGAGGAGCAATTGAAAAAAGGCACTAACTTAAGCAAGTTAGCAAGTTGTGTTTTGTTTCTTTGTTGGTGGGTTTTGGGTGTTTGTCTTTTTTTTTTTTTTTTTATGCTTCATACAGCTTGGGAATTTTGTCAGACATAATAATCTGAGCAAAAATTTAATTGCAAACCTTGTCTAACATATAAAATGAAAGCTTATGGTTATGTGTCTTCAGCTATTTGCTTCATTGCTCCAGGAAATCATAGCTTTGATTTCATGGATTTGATTCTTATTTTAATTAATTCTAATTCATTCTTCTGGGAGCATTGCTTAGCATATGYGTATTATATACTTTGGAGTAGAAATTTCTAATATCTAATATACTTTGACCATCTAGGAAATCTCTATGATCGTCTTGCTTGATATATCCTTGCTAGATTCATGGACTTGGATAAAATTTTGTAGCKTGACCAACCATAAAATAAAGAACTCCAGTTGGTCTAGAGCACATTCAGATTCACCTGGAATCCGTTAATGTAGTTTAATACTCAGGGAAAAACAAAATGAAATATTTAGCATTATTTTTGTGATATAACTTTCTGGATCCTGAAGCACTCTCTGCTCTACATAGTGTAATCAAGCGATTCAGCTAATAACTTCATGGTACTGAAGAACAAGCTGTTCTGTGTGATAGTCTTGCTATCTCAGGGTAATTGGTTAATTGCTTTTGCAGAATCTATGTTACTCTGTTACTGAAAAATTGGAGTCATAACATGCTAGAATTGCTCTTATTTTGTCTGACATGACTTGTGTGTTACCTAATAGGGCAGACAGTCTGTAGAAGATGTTTCAACAGGARATTCCTTTTCTTCTGGACACTCATTTTCCGGGAAGCAACCGTTTGTTCACTCCATGTGCTCCAACGCAAGTACATTTGGAGTTCAAATGTGTGCTGAGAGGAGAAGCATCCATGCAGCGTTCATCAAAAATGTGCCTCTTTATTACCTTGTTGGGGAACATGCAGTCAGAATGAGCTTCAAACCAGGTAAATACCTYCGATCAATAGAATATAATGAACGTATTATTGTATGTGTATTTAGGTATGTACATACCAGTTTTATCGGGTTTGCCTACTGTGTGCCATTAGAACTACTGGTACAGCTCTCAAGACTGCAAGTTCTGCCAGCAGGTTGCACGTGTGGCGGGAATGTTGTTTCTCCCCACCTTGGAGCAGTGATTTCTCAGCTTCCTTAATGAGTGTCCACACGGCAGAGCTCCTCTGTGCGGGCGCAGTGTGAGGCGGAGCTGATCTGCGCTATCGCGAAACATTGGATTTGAGATGCTGGCACAGAGCAATTGGACATGGGCAATGGATCTGATGCAGTGTCCTGCAGCTACACTCTAAAAACCCAGACTCTTAAAGGGAATTATGGATTAACCTTGCCAGGATCTGCTCCTTAATGTCTTAATCCCTAATTTCATAAGAAATGGCACAGCAGGCCACTGAATCTAGGTCTCCTAAGTATCACACTAATGGCCGTTGGACTGTTCTTTACAAGAATGCTTGTCAAGAATCAGGTTTCAATTCCTTTCTGATGCCTAATTTGCTACCCCACAGTGTTATTTGTGTAAGCAAACCCATTCAGTGRCTTAGATCTGCTGATTACTGGTTTTTGACTTGAAAATAGAGTTGCATTAACATTGTAAAATTTGCTTATGAACATTCAGCTCTTAAGGAAATATTTCACTAGTTGCTCAGCACCAGAAAAAAATTTACATTTTCAGATGTGAAAGACTGAATAAATTATTTGAAAATACTTATTCTACAAATAGCTGTTGCTAATGTTAATTTTTGTTCATTTGCTAATACRCATTTTTGGGCAATTTCAGTTTCTACAGAGGCACCTATTGAAAAAATACAAGTCACAATTCAAGCAGGTGCCCAGGCTCCTACAAAAATGGTACGTCTAGTGACATTTGAAGATCCAGAGACACAAGTATCTTCCAGCAAAGAAGCAGTTAAAAGAGTAAAGAAAATCCTTGATGATACTGATGACCAGGTACTTTTGTAAAAATCCACTTTCCAGATTTGTGTGAGACAATACATAAAGCATGGTTATTTATACTGTTTTTACTAAGTAGCCTTCATTTTTTAGCTAGTACACTAAAAATGTAAAATACAGACAAGCTTTTAGGTGCATAACTCTTTCCACACTTTTGTGGGGATTTTCTTGTTTTACTTTTTTTTTTTTTTTTTTTTTTTTTTTTTTTTTTTTTTTGAGTTCATTTCTTTTGGTGGTGGTGCTTCTGGTAGGTGAGATGAAGGGATGATTAGGGAGAGTAGGTTCAGGTTGGTTTTACTGGCTTCTCTGAAGGTCTCTGGCACAACTATGTAAGGCCAAAGATTCTGTCTGCCCAAAAGATTGTCTGTTCTTTCCAGCTACTGCAGCTGTTGCAAAAAGGTATGGTTTCTCCTTAACAAGATATCTTGAGAGAGTCACAGCTGCAGCACTGCCATTACTAACATTAGTTATATAGCTGTATGATCAGTAACTTCTRCACGTGTTCATTATCACATAGGTTTTTGATCTGCTACTTAACTGTGTTTTTAACACATTATTAGGAAWTGGTTTTATTGTGATGTATTGCAAGGCTGCTATCACAGGCTGCTATCTTATCTTCTAAGACAGCAAGGAGTTTCATAGCACTCTAATTTTGCTTATAGCTTTCTACATGGATATAGAAAAATAATTCTCTTTTTCCAATGGTACTTTTGACTAGGGAACAAGAAAATCAAGAAGTTCGTCATCCAGTGCCAGCAGCGCCAGTAGAAGCACTGAGAGTACCACGAGCAGCCCCTCCAGCAGCGACTCTGACACCAGGGCTTCACAGGGAGGCACCCGGATAACTCTGAAAACAAAACAGTCTAAAGCCAAAGCAAAGAAATTCTATCCCTTTGGGGACAGCAGCAGTAGCAGTGACAGTAGCAGCAGTAGCAGCAAGAGCAGTAGCAGTAGCAGCAGTAGTAGCAGTGGTAGCAGGAGCGGTAGCAGTGGTAGCAGTGGTAGCAGGAGCAGCAGCAGTGGTAGCAGTAGCAGCAGGAGTAGTAGCAGTAGTAGCAAAAGCAGCAGTAGTAGCAGCAAGAGCAGCAGTGGAAGCAGTAGCAGCAAAAGCAGTAGGAGCAGCAGCAAGGGCAGTAGCAGCCAAAGCAGCAGCAGAGGGGACGGTAGGAGTAGTAGCAGCGGCAAAAGCAGTAGTAGTAGCAGCAGAGCATCTGGTATGAAGCAGGCAGGCCGAAAGCATCCCGAGACCACATCATTTCCCCGTGCCAGTGCTGCTGTCGAAGGCACAAGTGTTTATGAGCAGAAGCCTAAAATGCAGAGTAGCAGCAGTGGCAGCAGCAGAAGCAGCAGCAGAAGCAGCAGCAGTGAGAGTGCACCCCATGGCCACAGCCAGGAGCGCTTCAGCAGATACGACAGGCGAGCTGGAACAAACCACGTCAAGTCCCAATTTAACAGTCACAGTAGTTACGACGTTTCCACAGAATGGGTAAAAGTTTCGAACTTTTTACTAGGAGGTGATTGTCACTGAGCTGTTGGCTTTAACTTATTCTGGAATTTTGCAGACTTACCTTCCAAAAGTGTACCGGCTCCGCTTCAGATCCGGCCACGTCCATTGGGTAGGTCTGAATTCAAGCATGCCTTCCTGTCGTTGTAGATGATATGATCAAGCCTGTCACTAAGGGGATTTGGTAGGTTCATTTCACCAGGTATTCTATAGAATCTACCTTTATTATTCAGTAATACCACTGATGAGGCCCAAAGTAAGCTGATATGTTATTAAAATATCTGTCAAGTAGCACTTKCAATCATAGATTTTTGGCAAGGACATTTTAGGACTAGGTACTGAACAGTGCAGTGAAATCTRGGACAAGATCCATAGAGGAAATATAAAAACATAATCCCCAAAGACCTGTTAACTTTTCATTTTTTTAGACAATCATAGCAGTAAAGCAAACTCATATTGCACGCAGATGGTGTCAGAAACCAGACTGACTATGCRCTGTGATACAGAGAAATGTTAACTGTGTAGTGGCTTTTGGAGGTGTTAGATGGAAAGTTGCTATTTACCTTATTTGAGAAGGATGATGTTTTTGCAGCATTTTAGATTAAAAATGGGTACTTTTTAATCACTAAGTTAGGATTTCACCTCGTCTAATGTTAGACCTCTACAAGGTGAAATCCCCATTTCGAGTCACTCTCTACATAGCCTTCTTGATCAGCAGAGAGGTACAGGTGGATTCAAGACACATTCCTATCCAATGTATTTCATGTTTAAATAATAAGAAACACACTGAAAATATGTCTGAGCYTCTCCATTGCATTTGGATTGATACTGATAACTCCAGTTTAGATGCCTGTGCTGTAAAAATATAATTTACAAGGATGAATCCTGACCTGTAGTATTGTTTGAGGACACTATGTGTCCTCATATATTTGTAATGCTAAAGAAGTAACAGCTTCCATTAGCAGACACTTTTCATTCTCCTGGATCTAGAAGCCATGTCCATAACTTCATAATATATTTTTGTTCCGTAGCATCCAGATCAGAAGGTATCAGACAGCTCATCGTCTTCCTCCACATCAGGAAGCAGTCACAGCAACAGCAGCAGCAGTAGCAGCAGCCACCACCACSCAGGAAATACTGGCAGCAGCTCCAGGAGGAGCCGCGTTAGCAGAGGACCGGGCCTTGGTCACGGGAGTGATTCCAGCTTAACACATGAGGTAGTCTCTGCAATCTGCTTGTAAATGGTAGGATTTGCTGACTGCTGAGCCAGAACTTTAGAGGCGGCTGTACCCTAACTGAGTTAAGCCCAGGAAGTACTTTGCATGCTGAGTTTGTAAATTGAAAGTCAAAGTAATTTGGCATTTTTGTGAGTTTGCTTGGCTTTAGAGTTTCATTTGTTGTTTTCCTGAGCAAGGTTTCTTTTAGTGTTTGCGGCATGTGAAAACTTGGATTTGGAAAGGATAAAAACTGAAGGCAATGGGGTTGTAAGTTAAAGCGGAAAGAATTTTATTTTTCCTATAGAAACCCTCACAATAGAATGTTTCGCAGTTACATAAAAGTGTAACTGGTGAGGACATAGATTGAACTTTTTTTTTTTAACTTAAATTCTCCGACTTATTTTAAAATAGTGGTAGACTCAGGGTCATGGGAGCATGTAGGGTATAACTGAAATCAGAATCTTCATGCTTATTACTGGTTGCTATATAAAAAGCCCCATTAAGCACTAGTTATCCTTACCTTGGTATGCACTTAATTGTACAAAGTTAACGTAGATCTACATAATAATAGGACAAAAAGCCCTGCAAAACAGTGAATATGTAAGAAGACTTGACTAGTTAGAAGGATTTCAAAACATCTGGTTCTCTTGAAAAAGCTGTAACTGATATTGTGAATGCACCAAAATGAAGATATTTACAATCTCATAGGCATGTTTCTAATATTACAATAATAAACAAAATCTTTAAAAGTATGTAGAGCTAGTTCAAAAAAATCTTGAATTCTGCATCCAAACAATCAAATCTTTGAAAATGGTAATGAAATAATTAATATTCTAATCAGATTTATTCTTAAATATTTCTAACAATCAGAAATATTCTTAAATACGTGCAACAAACCAGGATGATGAAAGATGAGGAATGCTCCCTGCTATCACTGCAGCATAACTGGACTGTGGGTTCTCCAGAGAATACTGAGAAATATGTAATCACAGATGGTTGGGGGTTGTTTTTCAGCGCAACTTCCTGGGAGAAGTTATTCCACCTGGCATTACGATTGTGGCACAGGCAGTAAGGAGTGACAACAAAAATCAAGGTTATCAAGCTACAGCATATGTTCGTTCTGATGCTGCCAAAGTTGACGTGCAACTAGTTGTGGTTCAGCTGGCTGAAACCAGTTGGAAAGCATGTGCTGATGCTGTAGTACTGCCTCTGAAAGCCCAGGTAAGCACACAGKCAGCTTTGCCAAGCGAGAGCTCTAGAAAGCCCAGAATGTATTGAACAACCACATAGCTCCTGCTGATTAGCATAATCAAACAGGGAAACATACATATTTTAAAATGTGTCTCACAACACGTTCTTAAAACTTCCGAAAATGTACATGTCTTTTCCCATCCTTTCAAATTAAAGAAAAAGACTTTCTAACTGTAGAGAAAAATGAGGACTTTGAAGATGTATCCAAATATGACTTTTAAAATACGAASAAAATTTAAAAATTGACTGACATGATTTGTTTCAATGACAGTTTGTTTTTCTGGGAGTCTTGTTATTTTTACTCTTCAGTGCAAAGTTTCAGTGGCTGCTTTGGAAAAGGAACATCTCTGTGAAGCTTAGCGCAGCCTAGTGAACTTCATTTTTCAATTAGCCTCAGCTTTATCCAGATGTACTCAGAATTTCTCCATGAGGATATTTCAAGGGTAAAACTTAGAGGCAGTAAATATCGTTTTGACGTTTCAGGAAAGCAGGAACATTTAAATTTTCAAATGGCATTAAGTGCTGTGATTCCAATTTTGAAATTTGTGTAACCATTTCCCTGTTTCTTAAAGGCCAGACTGAGATGGGGCAAGGAGTGCCGAGACTACAGAATAGAAGTCAGGGCTACCACAGGCCAGATGGCGAGGAAACCAGCCGTGCAGCTAAAGGTGCAATGGGGAAGTCTTCCATCCTGGATAAAGAAGACAGGCTCAGAGTATGTAATTTGCTCTCTTCTGGGTTGTTGTGTTGCACTCCTCACATTGATTGGGCTGTATAAAACCACTGAAAGAACTGGATGAAACTTTTCAACCTAACTTTCTTTTTTTGTTTTGATGGAAAACACAAGTTCAATGACACACAGGAAATGTTTTTATGTTTTTTATTTCCCTGACATTTCATATTAACTGTGTCACATTTTCAGATATTTGGGTGTTACCTTTTAATTTTTGAAATTTAATGTTCTGATATTTCAGTTCAAAATGGCTTTTGTTTTGAATTTCCTTTTATTCTTTCTCAAAAAAAAAAAAAAAAGGCAAAAAAAAGCATGTTTCCTTTAGATAAAACAAAGCATTTAGTTTGACCTGAAGTCATATTTTTCTTTTCAGTTCTCCCATTCTCTCCTCAGTTTTTCAGAACGGCCAGCAATGCTCATCCTTTGTTCATGGATCTGAGTTTGTCATATCTTGTTTATCTCTAGATTCATGCAATATGTTCCTGGAGCAGCACTCATGTTGGGCTTCTCAGAAGTGCATCAGAGAAATCCATCTCATGAATTTACAGTAAGGGCAGCGGCAACATCTGCACGGACAATTGATGCAGTAGTTAAAACTTCTGGGGTACGAGTCATTTTTTTCCCCCCTCCACACCTTGAATGGATTTCAGCTAATTATATTAATATAACATATTAAATATTTTATATATAGATGTTCAATGTTTATTATTAATTATATTAATATATCTATTAATATATAGTTATAGATATTTAATATAAAAGAAGAAAAAAAGCAAAACGTTAGCTCTTAGGGAAGCTGCTCTGTCCCTAAAGTCTGGTGAAGTTTAGACACCTACTCCTACAACTCTGCCTTAAGCAAACTAGAAAGGTTGTACTTGCAGAACAGTTTGCATAGGCTTCATCTGCAGAATCCCAATGATTAATTGGCCCTTGTCCCCCAAATCCCTGTGCACCGTTTGGAAAAAAAATTCCCATGTGACTCTGTGGCATGGTAATAACAGCTCGCTATTCATAAACAGAGAAATTATTTAGTCTTTAACCTCAAATGCTGCTTTAGTACTGTGGGATCTTTAATATATGGTAATGAAGAAGTAAGCACGTTAGGCATTAATTTGATTCTCTTGGTAAATGTAATTTGTTTGTAATCATGGTAAAGGATTTTACCACTTCGGCACATTATGCCAATTTTTAGCCTGTAATGGATGCTGCCTGCTTCTGCCAACACATTCATCCACTTATCCAGTTACTTAACTTGTTGGGGTTTTTTTTAAGAAGTGAGTTAATTATCACTTAGACTTAGTCTATTTGTGTTAGCTTCCAGTGTCCATTTCTCATAAAACTCAGGAAGTGAGACTAGGGGAAAAAAAATAAAAAATAAAAAAATAAAAGACAATTATTGCTCATAGAACAACTCCTTGTTTTGTTTTTCTTGTTTGTTTGCAGTTATAATCTTTGAATAAATGAACTTAAATTGTTTTCCTGTCTTCTTTTTCAGGTAACATTTTACTACCAGGCATTCCGACTTCCATTCACTCTGCCCTTAGGCCCATCTTCAGCTTACGAGGCTCAAGATATCACTGCTTGGAATTTCCTTCCTGCAATAGCCTCACAAATAGCGCAAGAGGATCAATGTAAATATTACTTGCATGCCTATCTCATAAATAAGCAATGCTTATAGATCCCTCYTCTGCCATCATTGGGTCTTGCCTTTCCTTGTAAGAGAGGCATAACATACGCTTTCCCAGCAACTTCCATCACTTGGAAGYGTTATTGTTGGGTAGTGAATAAAGAGACTTTGAAGTGCTGTAAAGGTTTTTCAGAGGGACTATTGTCTTTTGCCCCTTCTAATAATTTGCCATCGCTGCATTGACAGGCATCAGATGATGCGTAAACTGAGATCATGAATTTCTTGCCTATTTATTTTCACCAAAAGATATATGTATTTTAGCTGACTGCTAACACTTTGGGGAAATGTTAATGATCATGGTTTCTCAAGAATTTAGTACATTTCAATCATTTTTTACCTTGAGTTTAATATTTAACATGTAATCAAAATTGATGCTAGTACAGTCCACATCTTTTAATTTTCTGTAATTCTATCCTGTCCTTAAAGACTTTGGCAGCTTTGAAAACTTCTGCTTAGGAGATGGTGAAGATTTGCTAGATAAACAAATCTCCAAGGCAGCCTYCAAATACTTAGCAGCAACACACATACTCTTGTTACACCTGCCTTTTCTTTTCTGTTTTTTTTTTTTTCCTGCAGCCACATGTGAAGTCAGCGAGGGAGAATTCAACACATTTGATCATGTGAACAGTACATACTCTTTCAATAAAAGCTGCAGCCTGATAGTGGCCCAAGACTGTACTGAACATCCAAAATTTATCATTACTACAAAAAAGGTTGATCCAAAGTCCTTCTCAAGAGAGGTTCACATAAATACAAGCTCACTGTAAGTGCAATTTATCTGAAGATAATGAAGAATTAAATATAGAAGTTTAGAAAGTTAGTCTGGGGATGGATGATGTCTCACTCCCACACGAAATTAAATTGCAGTCAACTATTGTAGMGATTCCTGGAAGGAATCCCTGTCTGAAATGCTCTTGTTATTTGCCCTCATCAACATATCACAACCCTCGCTTCTTYGATGACTTGCTCAACACGTCCCCATTCTCTCTTTTCTTTACAGGTYGAATCTCAGCAGCCAAAGTCACAATGAATTTTGGACTTTGGAAAGAAAACAGTTTAATTCATTCAAAATCCAGATGCTCAGATTGTTTTTGTTTTGTWCAGTTTGGTCATAAATAATTGTTATACTCTGCATTATTAAATTAATCATGATTTTTTTCTTTTTTTTCTCCCAAGAAACATCACTATCTGTCCAGCACCAAATTCATCTCTTCTTGTGACATGCAATGAAGAGCCAGTACTAACCTACAGTGAAGATTCTGAGTATGAAAAAGGTAWGCTGTGATACCCACTTTTTCAGCCAACTTAAAGATATTTAGTTTGTAAGACTGTATTTCTGTAAATGTTACAGAAACATATCCTCATAAAAAAAAAAAAAGTGTGATTAAGTATAAGAAAAACTACAGACTTCATTTTCTTAAGATTTGTATTACTTTTGTTCCTATATTTCCTGTACTAAGTATACTCTTCCTTTTCACTATCATAACTGAGAGATAAATAAGAAAGGACTTTTTTATTTATATTGTATGTCCCTGTTGGTGTTTGCATAAAGAAGTTGCTTGTTCCAGATATTTAGCTGGACTCCACTCATACTATTAGCACTTCAGGATTTAGGAACCTGGATACAAAAGTCCATTTCAACTATATGGCCCAGCAGTAGATTTTTCTATTTTTCCTTTTTCTCTTTGCAATAGAAGATATATATTCCATATTAACAGCAAATATATAAAAATATTATATATCAAAATAAAATACATTAAAGAAAATACATTGTGCTAGTCAGTTTCTTTATTATTTTATAATTAAGTAGATCACCTTATCTTTTCACAGGCAATATTAAAATTTATAAAAATGGGACAACAGTTATTGTGGAAGCTCCAACATATGGACTGAAGAACGTGACTTTTGATGGTGTGATCCTTAAGGTATAGAGCCTTTTTTAAGGGTCACTAGCTTTCTTACTGTTTAGTGCCTTACAGTGTAACAGACTTCAGTATCCACTACAAAGATGTGCTGTTTTGTAGGTTACTGTTGCTTCATGGATGAGAGGAAAGACCTGTGGAGTTTGTGGAAATAATGACCGAGAAAAGCACAATGAGCTCCTAATGCCAAATCATAAGCTGGCACACAGCTGTTCTGCTTTTGTTCATTCATGGGTACTGCTAGAAGAAACCTGCTCTGGTGGTGAGTAGAGCTGAAAGTAGTTTATGCTGGGGAAAATACAATATCACTTTTACATTACCAATTACTGGAAAGATCTTTTATTCCTTCTTTTTTTTAATAGAAAGAAAAGCAGCAGATACAATTTACTTAGAAAAGACAATAGCGCTATATATCCATTTTAACTTCAGTGACTACTGACTGCTTAAAATAGTGTTTGTGAGCATGGAAAATTTGTACTCAGCAATAGTCTTTGTCTCATGTGCAAGTCAATGCTAAATAATTAATTTGACTCTAACGCTTTACACTGAGTAGCAGCTTTCTTCAAGAGGCAAAATCAGCCTAATTTTTCACCCACAGAAGTCTGTGTGGTTTTCACCAGCCAAAGCAGCCTCAGCTTTTGTTTGTAGAACTCATTTAATCAAACAAGTTGCAAACATCATAGATGTCACACACAATGTACACGAATGCAGTAGGTCAGATCTTAGATTTATATACATTTGCAGATTGTACAAAATTCATTTTTGTTCTAAACCACCTGAGGGAGAAATCTCAGAGAAATACTTAGGAATATTTCTAAGATAAAAGAGTTTCCTCTCATATGGAGCTGGAAAAATAATCACGGTCTCTCAACATCATTACAGTTTTGTTCTGCAGGTTTCCATTTACCTTGGACCTGAGACAACTTTATTGAAGTTAATGGCTGTTTTCTCCTTGACTTCAGTGGCAGTGGAATTGTACTTATCTCTGTGTCAGGAAACAGAGTSATAGCAGAGATCCCGTTAAGTTACATTATACCTTTCTAGTGAGATGATCGCGACATTATAAAAATCATCCAATACAAAAATTATCCTTGATGTTATTATATAAATGCTGCCATTTTTTATCCATTCACTCCAGTTGACATTTTTGTGTAATGCAATTAAGTAACCATTGTGCTGACAGTATCTGTTCTTAATAGCTTTCAGACATGAGGAGTTATTTTCTGTGTATTATGTAGTTCTAAAAAACTGGGTATACATGAATCCATTTCAGTTATATTGTGCAATTCAATTTTAAAAATAGCTCCCCTTTCAAAACCTTTCCTCTATCTTCCAACTTATTATCATCCTATCTTGATAACCTCACTATTGTGAAAATGGGTTGTCAGGGACCTGTGTTTTAATAAAAGCCGAGGCGAAAATATGGGCCTTTATTATTGTAAGGATCAATTGGGATTTATTTCTACAATTTTAACTACCTTTCCTTTTTCTCATAGGGTGCAAACTACAGCGCAGTTACGTGAAGCTGAATCGAAATCCTACTGTTGATGGAGAAGAATCTACGTGTTACTCTGTTGACCCAGTACTGAAATGCATGAAAGAGTGTACTCCAGTTGAAAAAGCTCCAGTTAAGGTTGGCTTCCACTGTTTCCCAAAAGGTACAGKGTTTTTTTCCTCTTTCTGTGTCACATACTGTAGGAGCTCTGTCAGAACACTCGGAAGAACAAAACAGAGCACAGCCACGCACAGACGTGTGTTGCTGCAGCTCCTTGAACTGCTGCTTTTAAACCCATTAGGATTTGCAATAACCACTGACGGTACTGGGTAGCTAAAAGCTAGTTTGGATGATGGCAGGTAGCATCATCTGAGGAAAGCATTTGAGGTGGTAAAAGGGGCAGCAGTAATCGATAATTTTTTCTTTTGCACCTTTTCAGGATCTCCATAAAGTTGTGATAAGCAACAGTGAGTYCTCTTATGCACATTACAGCCTGCAATTTTGTGCAGACCAGGGCAAGCAAGGCAAGTGAAAGTCAGTCAAGTAGTCTGACACAAYTGCTGTGATTAGACTGCCATGCTATGCCACTGTGCAATATATCACCAAAAACACAGTGCTGAGATATTCTCTAGATTTTTTCMAAAAAAATTTTTTTTTTCTGCTGACGTTTTATACACCCACACACTTGTGTTCAACATTTTTCAAAGAACTGGGCCTTTTGCTCCTTTCCCTTACATTGATTTGTTATGTATGCAATATATTTCCTAATAGAGCTTTACACTCAAGTTATAGAAGCAAGAGAGAAGAATCCAACCTTGAGCTTATAGGTATTTTGGTGTATTTTTTACTACATCTTCTAAGATATCACACAGGACATATATAATATCCTAGCAGGAGACCTACATTAGGAAATACCTACTGAACTGGTCTGTTTTCTATGTTAAGCATGCCAGCTAAATCCACAGCTGGGATAATACGTTGTAATTTCACTGAAGCCAGTGAGATCTCTATGACTTACATTAAAGAGAAATTATGTCYGATTTAGAACAACTACCACATAGAACTTTACAATTTGTGCATGTTATTAATATGCACAATGTGCTGAATCAGCCTCTAAAAGCAATGATTATCTTTCTGTAATAGTCAGCCTCCTACAACAGCCAATTCAACAAGTAGCCCAGGGAGAGTGCTAATAGTTTTCTGACAGCTCCCTGAGATGTGAATAGATGCATCCTTTTATAAAAAGRAAAACCCACCTTCAACAAAAAAACCTTCTAAATCTTGTCATATCCATGTTTCACAGATTTCTTTTGTATGTCCAAGTCTCTAGCTCTGAAATGTCACCACCCCAGGTCACTCGCTGCTTCAGAATATTAGGCTATAATAAAGCTGTCTCATTCTCTCACAAAAAGTGTGAGAAAAGAGGGAAATCAGAAAAAAAAAATATATTAGTTGTCACAGCCAGTGCTGCTTTTACAGCAACTGCAGGCTCCTCTGGTTCATTTACTGAACCAGAGGCTGGGAAGGCTGCTAGCAACACTCCTAATCAAGGGCTTTATTTATTTATTTATTTATNGAGTCCCTGGAAGGCAATAAATTAATAACACTGAGTTCAGTACTACAAACCTTCTCTTGGGAAGTCCCCACGAAACCTCTGCAGAGATTTTTCCTGCATAGTTGTGTGCATTTTGCTGCCAAGTAGTTGCATGGATCTGCTTGTGTCTTCCTGAAATTGCCACCATGCATCTTCCTCCTCTTCCTTTTTTTTTTTTTTTCTTTTTTTTAGTGAATATGATTGCTTTTTCTCAGGCTAAGGATCAATAGGAATACAATGCTTAAGGACATAAGGAATGTCTTAAAACATTCCTTTTCTTTCTTTCTTTGATGAAGAGGAATAGCAACAGAAGCACAAGTCCTTTTCCCCCAAGTTGAGTGCATGTATTTTCATGCACAATGCAAAGACTTTCCCTCAGCCTTTTATAGAGGAATTTATACCTGAGAATCAATGGTCTCAAAAGAGTGGAACCACATCCGTGTCAGCAGTGGAGTAAGGACAAAAGGATGTAGAATGTCCTCTGTTAACCTTGAAATCTGGTAGTCTGTAGGCTTAGGAGCTTGACTAAGGCAGACATGTTTATGTTTCAACTATGCCACAAGCCTTACCTTTATGGTTCATAGTTACCTAGTCATGATGCAGTTTGCACAGGAAACTGTTTCCTATAGGAATGTGAGGAATATCCATACTGTACACAAGAGGTAGAGCAAGAATTAATGTATATAAGGAAAAAAAATAACACACACACTTATGTCTTCTCTCATTTCCTAGCTTGAAAATACCTATGTTTAGAAAGCATCTAAAGCAATTGTCTAGGAAGTATTTATAACCTGTGTATTAAGTACAAGTTTTGCCTAAGGCTGGACAGTAATTCAGCCAAGAAGACCGTTAGTTTTTCAGGAGGTGCTGCCTCATACAGCCCTGTGATGAGAGAAGGCAGGCTGCAAATGTACTGTCCAACCGAAGGCTAAAACAAACGGAGATAAAATCATGAAAGCTTTGCACATTCTCATTATGCAATTTAAATGGAGGTCCTAATATTCTTCCAGATGCAATGATAAACCTCCAACTACCTAAGAATATTTATTGGGAGGATGAATATTATTATTCCATTTACATTATTTCAGCATTAAGGGATATGGCTCATTCAAGCTGCTGTTGATAAAGCAGTGTGGTGAGGTTAATACTGCAACTGACAATGCTCTGCCAGATTTCCCAATATATGGGAAACTTTAATTAGAAGTTTATGAACCTCTGAAAATTCTCTGAAGGGCTTATCCTTCAGAATCAACTTCAACAAATAGTGAGTTGAAATATGCAGTGATATGCAGCAGTTCCTAAAGCGAGCTGTCCATCGCTACATGATGGTCTTCACTTGGAAGGTGGCTACCTCCAGCACCTTCACAGGCTCCTGCCTCTTGTCTTTTTGTTTCATGAAGCATTATTATATGCAAAATAATATGCTATTATAGCATATCATTATTGTTTTTAGGAAATTATTAGTATACCTGGATGAAAATGCTGCTCCAAGTCAAAGAATTGGTTAGATCTCAGTTGTGAGGGCAGAATTTCATTCTTTACATGGTGGAGTCAGCAGCCATCAAAACAGTATTTTCCTGAAATGTGTAAGTTTGCCTGGTGTTAGTTAACAAGGGCTTTTCTCTTCTGACAGATACAGCTGTAAGCCTGCTGGAATGGCAGAGAAGTGGTGATAAGAAATCTGCAGCTGAGGATGTTGTGGAGTCCGTGGATGCCGACATCGACTGTTCCTGCACTGGCAACTGTAGTTAAGCTCATGKGTTAGTGTTGTGCTACAGTCAAACTAGACAAATAATTGAATAGCTGGACAGGTAAGAAGGCAAATAATAGCTGTAGTAAAATACTAAGAAATGTGCTTGAAGACAATAAGCGTATTGCATTGCATCCCAAGTCACATGCATTATGTACAGTCTGCACTGCTTAATAAATATGTTGTTCATTAAATAAGTATTCATGTAGTCTCTCTCTCTCGCTCTTAATTTCTTCCCTATCAACAAAACAATCAGGCGGCTATAATATTATCCAGAAATTCTGCTTCCTTTTATCTGAAATATAATTACAGCAGTCCTCTCTTAAAATTACGTTTGCTAGGTGATGAAAGGAAAACATGATTACGGCTACTGCTAACATTCCATTGTGTAAAGAATTTCAGATTTAGCATACTAAAGACACAGTAAGCATTTGTTTTCTTTTATGTTTTCTGGTAAAGAGCAAAGCCTGTTCTTGGAACCGTTCTGCAAAAAAATACATTTTACTCCCAGCAAGACCATTAGCCTTAGTACATTGTACAAAGGATTGAATTGGACTGCTAGACTCCCACTGTAGCTTTCCAGAGAGCTATAGTGTGCGACACAGTCCCCATTTTGATTTAAATTTCAATGGGTTTGCTGTTACTTCATGAGCTAAGAGCATGAATAGGAACTTTTTTCTTAGTTTGCCATTTCATATTGTGTTTATATATGAAAATGATGTCTACAAAAACTTCAGGGAGCAATAAGGTAGCAGTCCAAAAAAAGTAATGTACGGAAAGCTCCATAACATCATAAAGCTAAAATGAAGTATAAGCAGGACATCAGCCTCTCTTTAACCAGTGAGCCTATCACTTTGGTCACTTGCACTTGGCCTGGGCAGAAATGCAGTGCCCTCCCACGCTGGGGGACTARGACCTGGTGGCACCTTCAAAGGCCACATGATGGGCACAAAGATCCGTTGGCCTCAGAATGTATCATGATCGACCTTCATACCAGCGTCTAGCACGACCCTGGCAATACCAGATTGCCTCATRCCAGGCAGTAGCCCCAGGCACATGCTGGTTCCACAGAAACCTTAGTACGAGCTACATAGAGTTCAGAAGCTGTTATTAAATAAACCACATTTCGTCCTAAAACCTGAATTATCAAAAAGAAGAGGACTGAATACTAAAGAGCGCAACACTTACAAAACATTTTTTTTCAGAGCTTGATTTTTTTTTTTTTTACCAAGATTATAAATGTTCATCTCCCCCCTCCACCCCTGCATTGGGGTAAACCCCACAAAGCCGGAAATTAGAAAAGATCCAGTCTTTAAAGAGATTAGCAACATCAAACTAAAATTTGAAAGGGTAAATTACTGTCACCCTATTGTATCCTGACTTTGCTACGTGGTGGAGAGTAGGTCATTCTCAAGGTACTGCAATTAGTTAATGAAGAAAATAAGGCATTGCACSGCCAAAGCTAGGGCCATGGGCTGAGTGCTGGAGCTGGGTGCAGACCCCAAGCCCTTCTGCCTGTGCGTGGTTGCTGCTGTCCTGCTCTGGCTCCTTGCTGAAGTTAACCAGCTGCAACGTGCACAAGATGTGGAGTTGGCCTCTATACAGGGACACAATGTTCTGCTCAACAGATTTGTTGGGGTTTTGTTTTGTTTTTTCCTTTCTCTCCAGTGAAGTATATTCATCTTAGCTTGAACAGCACAGATTTCTGCACTATGCTTTTATTTGTGATAAAGCATTCACAAATTCCCTATTTAAAAGCTGTGCTGTTTACTAACTCAACAGAAGTGCTACCCTGCAGAAATGTAGCYCCCAAACAAGAAAGGAGATGACTAGTATTACATTCCACTTCCCTTCAAAAATATCACACTAGCATTACACCCAGAGAGCCTTTTTTCTTCCTGCTATTGTTTTTGCTGCAGCTTATAGGAGATTTGCCATTGACTTTCATAGGATCAAACTGGGGTCTGTCATCTTTAATCCAACACCTTTCTATTTAATCCACTTGTTTACAAAAGAGAAACTTTTGCCAGTCAACCACTTCAGATGAAAGAAAGGTACTGAAGAGATCTAGTGCAGGGGGGAAAAAAAAAAGAAAAAAAAAAAACCACTTTGATGTTTAACTACTGGAATAGGAATTGAGTAACACCCATTAGTAAATGAAGTAATTATGCTTGTAGTAAAACATAGTCATCTACACAAAAGCATGACACTATTTAACAATGATCAAGCTGGAATGTACAGTAGGAAAAAATACAAGCAGCTCATGAAGGCAGAGCCTTGGCCCTGAAACAATTTACAGACTGGTAAAGTCACTGGATCAGAAGCTCTAAACACAGACCATAGACAAGTTCCCGTCAAAGATGTTAGCATGTCCAGATGGGACGAACCACTAGTGAATCCAAGGCAGTCTAGGTGCTTCAGGACATCGCTTAGTCCCAGCACATGTTATTTCATTTTGTCCAATTCCTGTTCATTAGCACCTTCTTACTGAGATGGTTCGATATATTTGGCTGAACGACTCCACTGATTCTGCAGTGGTAAAAAGTCCAAATATGTCAAGAAAACCTGAGGTTGGCATTGGGTACCATGAAGCAAAACACTGAGAAACAACCTATTTAGCCAAAGGAATTAGGAGGACCATTACCAGTGCAAGTATGAACAAGCCAATTCTGCAGTTCCTAATACACTACACAGACATTTCTAACGCACCTGGGAGGCTATCTGRAGTCCAGATTTAAAGCTCATTTGGAAACCATGCCTGCCCTATCTTATAAAGGAAACCGAAGTTACATCRCCTAGTGCGCATTAAACTGTGTATTTCACAGGCTGAGCTTTTGTGCACTCTACTTTTCTTTACCAGTGCTTCTCAATGATGTGAATAAATCAACTTTAGACTTTACTGTAGTAATCAAGGAAAATGACCTTGCAATTATTATAGTGCTCCAATATTGTTTTGGAAGAATGAGCGCTAGGAAGAAAAAAAAAAAAAAAAGCTATAGTGCTAAGCATGTGCCAGCCTCCAGTTTTAATCCTAGCGTTGCAACTTCTGACATAGCTTTCTGTGAGGTTTGGAATTTCTCTGCTTCATTTTTTTTTTGCATCAAGATAGGGAAACCTACCTTCTTGACAGAGTCAGAAATACTTAAAAATTACATCCTGTATGGCTTTTGCAAGTTCTTCAGCRAATCTAGAGATGAAAAGAAAAATTATTTAGAAAATAATATATAATTTTAGAAAAATTATCTAGATCTCCTAACCTCATGAGCATATTTTGTTGCTAAGTTTAAGATTTTCATTTTCAGATTCAACCAACTGTAAAATAACTGTACATGTGGAAAAARATCAAAACTATGTACTTTATTTGTTCATGATCAGTTTTGGTTAAACCCTAGTGGATTATTCATAAGCCTAGCGTTGGCTCACGCTCATACAGTGGAGCAGGCAAAAGCTGGTGAAGACGGAGTCTTTTGTAMCCCGGACCAAGCCACCGAACCTTCTCACCACCAGCCCTGGCTCTTTTGACACACTGATTTTAAAAGGCACAGTGACTCTAGGGAAAGCAGGGTCATTCCATCCCCGAGAAGGAGCTGCAGCATGATAGGAAAGACAAAACCATTAATATCAGAGCCCCTCCTGGAAATAAAACACCTGCTCCACAGCATGAGTATTAAAAAAGATAACGGGTCCAATTCTAAGCCCACAGAAGTCCATGGTTAAACGCAAAAGAGCTAGGATTTTACTCAGCATGTTTAAATGAGTTATTAAATGAACTTTAGTTGTTCCTAAAAATAAATGTACTGTGTGGATCTAAGTGTAGCTGATGAATAAGAAGCCTCAGGAATCCAGCAAATATAGTGGTTAGGCCCAAAGCCAGAGCCAGCCCAAAAGGTTGCAGAGGAGAATAGCTATTAGCGGCTGTCTGAGCATCATGTTGGATCTCAAGGTCTCTCGTGCCATCTACTGGCTTCCTCTCTTCACTAGCAGTGGCTTAAGTCTGTCCCAGGTTTATTTATAGGTCTGATACATTCCAGGCCGTTTTATATAAATTCTAATCAAGGGTTAGGATTTTTTTCCTCTCTAACCTCCACACTTGATTACTATTTGTTTTTTGGTTTTTTTTTYCCCCCGCTCTAACTACATTACAATTCTCTACCTTTCTGAACACCATTTCACACGGTCTCTGGAGGAAAAAGGCATTGCCTAAGACATTCTCATTTCAGTTATTGCTGGATAGGCAGTAATTACATGGCAAGCAAGGCTGAGAAAAGAGTTCACTAAGAAAACCCAAAGCCGCTCGAAAGCAGTGCTTATGCTTCTTCCTCAATCAGCAGGAGATTGTTATTTTGGTACCTGAAATCATTTCAATATACCAAAAAACAAAACAACAAAAAAAAAAATCTAGTCTATTTTTTTTCTTCTTCTTTCCTCCCCTAGCATCTCACTCAAATGGTTACTAGGAATTACAGCTATTTGTCCTCATGCTGTTAAAACTTACTTTCAGGGGGAGTTAGGGGAGAAGGAATTACATATGCAGATGACTCTAGGTATCAGCACTCCCCTCTGCTGTCTTAAAGCTGCCCCCCAGGCTCATTTCTCCACTTCTCACTGAGCACAGACCTGCTCCCCATGAGCAGGATGAGCTGCAGCACCACGTGGCACCTGCAGCCAGCCTCTACAAATGCACCTTGTGCCAAGCGCTGTCCCGAGTCCTGGACGCCCCGCGGGGTGTCCCAACAAGGGGCCATTCAGGAAGAGACAAAATTTCCTTTGCACCTTGTGCTAAGGCACTGGTTTTTTTTTTGCAGCACTTCAAGTTTGCATCTCTCACCATGCATCCTCTCGTTGCACTCTCTGCCTCCAGTAATCCCACCCAGTGGCTACAAACCAGCTCAACCCAGGCACCACGTGCAACGCCGTGGTTGTGCTGCACAACTCGCTGGGCTGACCATGTTACACGAGGTTGGAGTTCAGGGCCCTGGAAGAGTCCGGACATCCAGCACCTCTGAGGGTAA